CGTCACCGGACTCCAGCTCCTCGGGCTCCACACTGCCACCTCAACGGCACCACGTATCATCGAGCCGAAAAATCCGCGTCAAGCACTCACGGGACCACACAGCAAGGAATGGAGGGAAGCAATGGATGCGGAAATCAAGGCACTTGAGTCCCGTGACACCTGGGTGCTCGTCGATCGAGCGGCGATCAAGGGGAGGAGGATTCTCTCCGGGAAATGGGTCTTCCGCGTGAAGACCGCAGCTGACGGCACGATCGAGCGATTCAAGGCGCACTGGGTAGTGCGCGGCTACGATCAGAGGCACGGCATTGACTTCGACCAGACATTTGCACCGGTCAGCCGCCACACCTCCGTCACGATTCTCCTCACCATCGCTGCAGCACGACACCTCCCGCTCCGACAAATCGATGTGAAGAACGCGTTCCTGTACGCGTTAGTAGATGCAGTGATCTACGTGGAGCAGCCGCACGCATACGGCGAAGGGGATTCACGTGTCTGCCAGCTGCGAAAATTCCTATACGGAATCAAACAGGCACCACGGCTCTGGCAGCAGTACCTGCACAACATCCTGCTCGAAATCGGGTTCAAGCAGTTGCCTCACGATCCTGGGATATATCGCCGCGATTTCCGCGGCGAATACATCCTACTCACGGTCTACGTCGACGACCTCCTCTATACAGGGTCAAGCAACGAGTTGCTTGAGCAATTCGAGAAAAACCTCGCATGGCGCGTCGACATCACCTGCAATCATGACGTGAAGCAGTTTCTCGGGCTCAACATCACCTACTCGCCGGAAGCCATTCATCTCTCAGCAGCCAAGTACGCAGAGGAGCTTAGCAAGTGCTTCAACATTGCGCCTGCACCACTCTCCACCCCTTACCGCACTTCAGGACCCAACCACAAGCCCGACAACAAAGCCCTATCCCCTGCTGGGCTTCACACCTACCAGCAGCAGTTGGGATGCCTGCTCTTTGCATCTGTTACCTGCAGGCCCGACCTCTCCTACATCGCGAGCCAGTTAGCCCAGTACTCCCTCAAACCAACGGTTGAGAATCTGCTAGATCTCCAGCGAGCACTTCAGTTCTTCATCTCCACGCCCAATGTAGGGCTCTGCTACTCCACCATCCCAACCTTGTCCTTCAACCTCATCGGCTACGTGGACGCTGATCACGCCGCTGACCCCGACAATCGACGGTCCAGGACAGGCTTCTTTTTTCGCCTCGAGCCCAGCGGCCCCATCTCCTGGAATTCACAGAAGCAGGAGTTGGATGCCCTATCATCAGCGGAGGCTGAATTCATCGCAGCAACAGCAGCCGTTCGCGAAGGCACCTTCAGGAGCTGCTGCAGGAGGCGAAAATTCCAGCCTCGGCGAACTTTCGCCTGCAATGCGATAATCAGAGCGCGATCAGGATCGCGAACAAGCCGGGATTCGTCAACCACACCAAACACATCGCGCTGCGGTACTTCTTCGTCAAAGACGAAGTTGACAAGGGCAAGGTTTACCTAACCTACTGCCCGACGGGTGACATGGCAGCTGACTTCCTCACGAAGAAGCTGTCACGTCAGCAGTACCAACACTGCTCCGAACTCAGCGGAGTAGTCAAGCGGGTCAAGACTCGCTACGACCAGGACTGAAGGGGGGTGTTACGAATAGTGATTATTGAAGTATCACTGTGCACTCCTTACCGCAGCAATCGAAGCACGCACTACCGAGAATGAAGACGAAAGGACGGAAGTGACGCGAAGGGTCGTACGGTTACGGAAGGATCTGGACCGTCGGGCAGACAGCATCAGGCCGCAGCAGTGGCGAGGATTCTGCCCGGACAGTCTCGTAACTGTCTGGAGTCGCACGGTTGGATTTCGCTGTAATAAGGGAATGTACCCCTTAGAGTATATGGCTAGCTAGGTCGATTGGTATTCCCTTGTACTCTTATTTATAGTGCTATATTTGCATGTTTTTATCATCTCAAGCATTTTATATTCACTCTGCTATTGAGGTCAAGGGCCCACCACCACTACTCAATTGTGTGCGAACCTTCCTGAGGTGATCATAGGGACGATCAACTTCTGATCGTAACAGGGGTTACATGTAAATGCGATTAAAACAAGTTTTTCCTTTAATACATTTGTTGTTACTTAGTTTGTTATTTAGGCTTCGCCTGAATTGCCAAAGGAACCTTTTTAGTTTTCTTCCAAAAATCAATTGTTTGATTGATATATTTCTACTGCTCATAGCCGAATTTCTTGTAAATGTATTCAACAATTCAACCTTTCCGCGCCGCCGGCACTTTCTGCGGTTTCTCCCCACCCCACGTCTGCACACATTCTCATTCCACGATTCACGATGCCGCTCGTGCAGTTTCGTCAAGCCGACTTTCCTCCTCTGCCCAGCTTTCCTGGGCTGGAGTGTACCCTCAGAAAAACATACCTCTTTCCCCCCCCCCACCACCACACATCCCAACCCATCTCATCCCATACTGCAACCCGCGAACCCAGTCTTTAACTCGCGGAGCATCCCCTTATCGCGCTCAACTAGACAGGACCGCCTTCCCCCTCACAGAGCCCCGCCTCCTGCAGCCTCAGTGGTGGGCCCCCATCCCCTTCTGCTTTCTCCACCTTGGACATGGATAGGCGCCGCCTCATTCGCCGCAATTTATCACCCTTACTCCCCCACCCCTCCCCATGAACGCCCGTAGTGCAACCGCTCTCAGCTGCTACACCATCTTCCGCCACTCCCTGGGCATTGAAGGCCAGACCTGCAGCCTGCCGCATCCACAATGCTCCCCAGTTCCCTCATCGGCGCCCACTCTGGCCGGCCTTCGTCTCAATGCCTTCTTCCTCTTCCGGAAGGCCTTTATCTCAAGCATGCAGTACACACACTAAGTCCATTCTGGTTTCCTCGTTGGAAAGCCTGTAGCCGACATGGACACTCAGTCTGTCATCACCGCAGAAGCATGGCCCATATCACCATCGCTCATCGTGGCGATACTCGCAGCCGTCGCGCTAGTCGTCTCGACCTCGTTGCTCTCATTCCTCCGCCGTCGATCCCCCTTACCTCCGGGCCCTTCCCCATGGCCCATCCTCGGCAACCTCCCCCAACTAGGTCTCCTGCCGCACCGCGCCCTGGCGAAGCTGGCGGACAGGTACGGCCCGATCATGACAGTCTGGTTCGGTTCCACGCCGACATTGATCGTCTCGTCGCCGGAGGTCGCTTGCGAGGTGATGAAAACGAACGATAAGCTCTGCTCGTCCAGCCCGGTGCTTAAAACGGTGGCGATTTTTTCTTTGGACGGCCAGAACATCGCGTTTTCGCCAGACAATGATCATTGGCGAAAGATGCGACGGCTGGCGACGCTCCACCTTCTGTCTGCGAAGAAACTGCAGGAAAGCCTTCCCGTGCGAGAGGAAGAGATTCGCGGCATGCTCGACGCGATTGCTGTTGACGCAACTGCTGCTGACGACGGGATAGAAGTGCGAAGGTACTTGACTCGCGCAACGCTCAACAACATTTTGCGCCTCACTGTCGGGAAGCGCTTTTGCTATTCCTCGATTCGCGGCGCGGCCGACGTCTCGTCGAAGGCGATTCTCGAGGATGCGATGAATATCGACTGGAACGAACGCGTCGCCGCAATAACCGGCGGAAAACGCGGCGGGATGCGCGGCGATGCCGAGGCGGCTGCAGCTCCAGCTACGGGGTCTGCAGCGGAGAAGAAGGAAGGAGAGATGCTGATTGCTCTAATCGAGGAGGGTTTCGCTCTCGCGGGATCGTTCAATCTCGCGGATTACGTGCCGTGGCTGGGCGCCGGCGGCGACCCGCTAGGCATGTACGCGCGCGCGAAGCGCGCCACGCCGCAGCTGCACGGATTCATGCGCGCGTGCATCGAGGAGCGGCGCCAGCTCGCGGCGCGGAAAGAAGTAAAGCCCTCCGAAACCACGCTTGTCGATGTGTTGCTGGAGATCGAAGGCGACGGGGAGGATGAGATCAATAAAACTGAGCTTCTCATGCTCGCTCTCGACATGATGCTGGCGGGCACCGATTCCACCTCCAAGACGGTCGAGTGGACGCTTGCTGAGCTGGTGCAGCACCCGGACGTGCTGGAAAGGCTACGTGCTGAGGTGGATGCGGCGTATCTCAAGTCAGCAAGTGCGGCCGCCGAAACTGGGGCGCCAGGAGGAGAATCTGGTCTCATGGTCTCGCTTCCGGTACAGGAGATGCCGTATCTGCAGGCTGTGTTGAAAGAACAATTTAGGCATCACCCCGTCACTCCACTCTTCTTTCCGCGCCTGACAACTGGCAGCGTAACCTTAGGGGGTTACAACATTCCTCCCAATACCATGATTAATATCAACTACTGGGCTCTTGCGCACGATCCAACGGTCTGGATCAACCCGCACAAATTCGACCCCTCCAGGTTTCTTGACCCTGCTGCCCCTGACATGCTCGGGCAACATTTCAGCCTGCTGCCCTTTGGGTCGGGCAGGCGCGGCTGCCTTGGGAAGACCCTGGGAATCGACATGTCTTCCCGCCTGCTGGCGAATCTTGTTAGACGGTTTGATTTTGAGCTGCCCGAAGAGGCGAGGGCAGCTGGAGGGGTGGACATGACGGAAACTTTGGGGCTGTCCATGACTCTTGTTAAAGCTCAAGGCCCAAATTGCGGGCCGCGCGAGGCAAGTTTAGTAAGGTTGATCGAGTGCTGCTTTGCAGCTTTAGCTGGGCGAATTGTGGTTACGAAATGTACGAAGCTATCTGATTGGCCAGAACATTTGAGTCAGCGAATGGAACAGGTGGTGCGGGAAACTGGAGTAATATTTGTGCAATATGGGACTCGCGCAACCAAACCTGAGCGTCCCCTAGGCTTTGCTGAGTCAGCGAATTTTGTTTTGAGTGTGGCGAGAAGCTGGGCGAAACCAAACCCCTACACCCCTCAAACACCTCGACTTTCCTACTCTGCTTTCCCACCACCCAAGGGTCAACTTTAGTAATCCTGAACAATTGGGGCCTCTCAGGCTTGTAGTGAGGGAGAGAAATGCAGTGGCGGGGCCAGTGGTGGCAGCTGCAGATGCTTGAGCTGCAAGGGGTGATCTGGTAAGGGGTTGAGCTGGAGGGGAGGGGGAAGGGGAGGGAAGGGGAAGAGGAGGGGGGAGAGGAGGGGTTGGAGGGGGGGAGGTGGTAGGGGCTGGAAGGGGGGAAGTGGGTGGGGGAAGTTGAGGGTCTGGATTGGGGGAGGTGGGGGGAAAGAGGAGGGGCTGGAGGGAGGGATGTGGGTGGGGGAAGAGGAGGGGTTGGAGAGGGGAAGAGGAGGGGGGTGCAACTTGCAAGGCTATTTCAGTCAACGCCTTTCGTCAGATTCTTGATTGGCAGTGCGAATTGTTAACTTTGCCAAAACAGATTCTCACTTGACTGGCTCTGCATGGTAATTCAGTCCAAGAGGGGTTGTCTTGCACATCGTGCTTCTTAAGTCTACTTGTACACCTGATGCCCGCTACAGTTACACCATCTTTTTCGGCAGGTGTCGCTCATTTCGCAGCGGGCAAAACGGGATAGGCTACGCATACGTCAGCAACGCGTTTGGCGTTTCTTGTGTTCTGGGGGATGGCGGTGTTTGTAGTGTTCGTCTGGTTCTGGTTACCTGCATTAATGTACGGTACATCTCTCCATGTTCCTGTACACTGTTTTCTGCCGTAAATAACAAATACAACAACAGTGGCACATGCAATGTTACAAACACTAACAAACACATGTCCACCAATCGCGGCTTCCCACCAAGTGCACGAGTTGTGTAGTCATGCTATCCTCTGCACACATTGTTGTGCATCCACTCAGCGGCCTCGAGGTAGCCATCTATGGCTGCGCCAACTCCAGCATCAAGGAGCTCCTGGTGGCGACGCCCTGCCAGCATCCACCAAAAAAGGACGTGTCCACGACGAGGCGGGGGAGCCCCAGCGGGGAGGTTCGGGTTGAATCGTGAGCTTGCGCGCTCAAGGCGCTCGACAATGATCAGGTTGCGAATGCCGAACAGAGCACGAAGGTCGCGCAGCATAATGTTAATGGCGCGCGTGTATCCTATGAGCATCTCGCATGCTGCACATGCAGTGCGACGTGCTTCGCGCGTTGTGTGTTCGCCATCGCTGCAGTCATCCGCAGGCGACGGCGGGGCGCCCCAAATTGAGTGGGTCCAAGGGAACGTGGGCTCCTCCGCAAGCGGGTCCTCACCTGGCTCGTGGCAGGTAGGCTTGTTCTCGTCGAACGCAACCAGCTTGGAGGCGTGCATCGCGCTTGATCAGAGCTGCAGGCCAAGCCCACGTCCGCCATGGCATCCTCGAGGTCGTTCACCTCGTGATTGTCGTCGACATCCGGCTCACCCACGTGCTCGAGCTGCATCTCCCAAGTGGTCGGCGGACATCCGATGCGCCACCAGCAGCGCTGAATCGATCGCGGTGGAATGTGCATCCACGCGTCGCTCAGCCACTCAATAACGTCCCGCAGGTTCAAAAGGTAGCGAGCCAGTGCTGCCATTGCACCGGCAGAGTCCCACGGAGTCGTGAAGTCGCGCAACCAATGCGCGCGGTAGCGAGCCTTCATCATGGCGATGATGCCCTGGACGAGAGGCTGGGTGAAACAAGTTGTCTTGGGGGAAGGTAAACCAGGCTGACGTTGCTCAATGACTTTGACCTGAAACCAAACAGGTCCTCCGCGGCGGCTGATTCGGTGCGCATCACATGGCTGCTGGCGTTGTCCAGCAGTATGACGATATTTCGCCCCTCAGCGAAAAATGTAGCGTAGAGTTGCTCCATGTGGGCATCATGTTTCTCCTCCGCCTAACCACGAGCTCGACACCGCACCACTCTCCGCAGCAGATCATTGGCTCTACCACCAGTAGCTAGTAGACCTGAATGGGAGCATATGGCGGACTCACGGCGTGCACTACAATACTTCGTTTCTACACACGACGTCGGCCTGGCCAACAAAAGCTAAGTTAACGGCTAATCTAAAGCTAACGGGCTACGTGGATGAAATCTAAGGAGGTCCTGCACAAAATTAAATTTCGAACTTGAGCCTGCCGGACCCATCTCCTGAAACTCCCAGAAGCTGGAGCTCATCGCCCTCTTGTCAGCAGAAACTGAGTTCATCGCTGCGAAGGGCTTTACCTGGCGGAGCTCATGCAGGAAACCGAAGTCACGATGAACATGTCATTCAAGTTACTGTGCGACAACCAGAGCGCGAACAAGCCTGGCTCCGACCGCACAAAACACATCACCCTCCGTTACTCTCAGAGATAGAATGCAGCGGAATGTGAGGAATAGAAACGGATGGGATACAAATATGCAACCCTAACAACTGTACCCCCTAGAAGGCACCTCACTACAGCCTACAAGAGTTATTATGATTTGACACACCCCCATAGGCTAAGTGAGGGGCATCAAGGAGACAAACAAGTGACAGCAGATGGTCACAAGACCAGTCAAGAGTAAGCAACAAAACAAGGCTCAGGGTGGCGCTCAAAGTCACCACACACTCCGAGCACAAACAAGCGGCCACAAGGCCAATTCAAGAGGTCACTAGGATACAGTATATAGCAAAGCAAAACAAACAGAGCAAACAGCAATACTACAGCAACCGAGAGCCTACCTCAACAAGCCCTAGCTGCACACAGAATCTGTGGTGGTCACCAGGCGCCAAGGCCTTGGTGACGACGTCGGCAGTGTTGGCCTCTGAGGCCACAAAGTCCAAGCGTGCCTGGCCGCGTCGCTACAACTCTCGCAGGAGAAAGTACCTCACGTCAATGTGCTTCACTCTGCTCTCCAGTTGAGGCTCTCGACACAGGAGGATCATGGCCTTGTTGTCAGCCTACAAGGTCAGTGCAGAGCAAGGCCGCTCACCAAGGTCGGCGAGAAAGAAGGTCAACCAGCGAAGCTCCTGTGCCGCCATGGCACCAGCGTAGATCTCTGCCTCTGCACTGGACGAAGCCACAGACGACGACCGTGTAGACCTCCACGACACAGCACCAGCACCCAGACTGAAGCAGTAACCCTGAGTCGAACGCTGAGTCTCCACGTCGCAACTGGCTAAGTCCCTCCAACTGGCCGAAGGAGTCCACATGCGTCAAGGAAGAGTCGCAATGACCGGTCAGCTCAACTGGCTAAGTCCCTCCAAGCACAAGCCCCATGCCTGATGTAGTCGCCAGGTACTTTGCCACCCTCACAGCAGCTGTCCAGTGAACAGGACGGTGTCTCCCAGTCGCAACAAAGCGAGAGAGGACGCTGAGGGGAAAGGCGAGGTCCGGCCGAGTACAAGTTATCAGGTACATGAGGCATCCTACAAGCTCTGCGTAGGGACCACTAGACTCAAAGGGCTCGTCGGGAAAGGGGCCAGTGAGTCTCCGGTCAACAGCAAGAGGAGAAGGCTGGGTGGTGGAGATCTGAAACTCGAACCGCCGAAGGACCTGCTGCACCATGTGTGATTGCGTCAGTGTGATGGTGCGAGCGGCTCTGTCCCTGGTGATCTGAAGGCCAAGGTAGCGCTGCAGTTCACCGAGGTCAGTGCACGTGTGTCTCTTCTGCAGTTCGGACCTCACCTCAGCCAGAGCTGCCCTGTCTGCTGTAGCAAAGACCAAGTCGTCGACGTAGACAAGTATAAAGAAAGGAGTGGAACCAGCACGAACAAACAGCGACGGGTCGGCAGAAGAAGGACGAAACCCAAGGTCACGAAGCGTGGAGCGAAGAGTGTCGTGCACTCACGGGGCGACTTGCGGAGACCGTAAACTGGCCGCCTCAGGCTCCACTGGGTCCCAGGTGGGTAGGTGTCAGTGAAGCCAGGAGGACGCCGCAGCCAGATCTCCTCGTGTAGGCGGCCCTGGAGAAACGCAGTGGAGAAGTCGAGGGAGTGCAGCTCGTAGTCTTGCTGTGATGCTACGTGAAGTAACACCCGAAGAGTAGTCATCTTCGGGGTCGGGGCGAAGGTCTGGAAGAAGTCAACTCCCTCACGCTGACTGAAACCCCTAGCCACGTAGCGCGCCTTGAACACAGGCGGTGATCCAGGCGGCCGCTTCACCTTGAAGAGCCACATGCCATCGACAACGTTCGCCCTGGGAGGGGGAACTGCGTCGACGTAGGTGCCTGTGGATCTCCAAGACGCTAACTCTGAGTCCATAGCCGCTTTCCACTGAGAGGCCCACTCCCCTCATGGTACGTGCGAGGGTTCGGTATGTCAAGGGCGTCGGGGTCTCCCTCAGGGGATAGCATCATGGCACAGAGAGAGGGAGAAGCGGCTGCCTAGTACTCCAGCTCAGACTGCCTGTCCTCTAGGACGTCATAGCCAAGGGCAAACTCACCCCCAACGGACAGATGACAGAAAGGAGAGCTGGCACCACACGCGTGGCGTAGTGAAGGTGGCTGGTGGCAGCAAACTCAGCGACAGCGGCAGTGAGAGCCGAGACAGACGACGGAGAGAAACGAGAGTCGGTGGCAAGAGTGGCGAGAACACGAGAAACAACAGGGCGAGCAGCACGGTAGTAGTCAGAGATAGGGGTAGGGGAGACAGGAAGAGAGGATGGAGGAGGAGACGGGAGAACGGACACAGGTGGAGAACGACGACGAGAAGAACAAAAGAGGGCAGTGCGGAGGTCGGTAACGGGGGACGAGGGACGAGCACTCGGAGAACAGGGACGGACACGGTAGTGTGGGACAACAGGAGGAGAAGACGGGGACCGAGGAGAAGACCAGACAGCAAGAGAGTCGTCAGGAGGAGGAAACGTAGGGCCAAAGGCTGGGAGAGACGGAGAGCGGACAGGAGAAGAGGAGGGAAGACCAAGGGTCCGGAGGCCACTCACGGGTGGGAACAACTGTCGCTCCAGATGTCAGAGGTCCACTGGTGATCCCTGATTGATCCTAGGGAAGGGTTACAGGCACGTTGGGCTGGGGGGTTATGGGCGCACTCACCCGCTACACAAACAAGCCCTTTTATCCCAATGGTCTAGTGGTTGGGATTCTGACATGGTATAGAGCAATAAAAAAAAATCCCATGGGCCCACCGCCCCGTAACGTGCCCTAGCCCGAAGCGCCCTAGCCCGAAGCGCCCTAGCCCGAAGCGCCTTAGGCCGTAGCGCCCCGTCAATTCGTGACTCGTAGTGCCCCGTACCCCGCGCGCCACCCGTTTTCCCGTCGCCTCACCCGTCAGATCCGTCGCGTCGTTACTCTCCCCCCCCCCCCGTCGCGCCTTTGTCAGAATAACGAACAGGAATGAATGAACTAGCAGTAGGATGGGTACAAGTAGCAAACCCTAATTTGTGTTGTACCCCATATGGGCTACCCCGCAACAACCTACACAATAAGCAGCATATATGTTTGACACACCCCCATAGGCAAAGTGGGGGAGAACAAGAGGTCACAAGACCAGTCAAGAAAGGCAAAGCAAGCTCAGGGTGGATCACGAAGTCACCACACATTCTGAGCACAAGCAAATGGCCACAAGGCCAGTTCACATGCAGAGTTATATATAAAGGAGAACAAGCAGTACAGTGATCACAACCTAGCAAGTGTAAGCACGCAGGTATAAGTATATAGATCACAGTACAAGCAAAGTCAAGAAGTGAGCAAGTGAGGCCAAGTAGGCACAAGGCCTAAAACAGTACAGAAACGCTGATGATCACAAGGAGGAAGTGCCTTGGTGAAGACATCAGCAGTGTTGGCCTGAGAGGCCACGTAAACAAGACAAAGCTGACCACGCTGCTGCAAATCTCGAGCAAGGAAGTAGCGCAGAGCTATGTGCTTCGTTCTGTGCTCCAGTCTGTGCTCCTGACACAAGGCAATCATGGCCTTGTTGTCGACGTACAGAACTGGAGGAGAACGAGGCGGCTCTCCCAAGTCGGTCAGCAGGTATGTGAGCCAGCGTAACTCCTGTGCAGCCATGGCCCCTGCGTAGATCTCAGCCTCACAGCTGGAGCTGAGAACAGAAGACGAGCGGGTAGACCGCCACGAAATAGAACCGGAGCCAAGGCTGAAGGTGTAACCCTGTGACGACCGCTGCGTAGCCAAGTCGTCA